CACTGAAATGTCACAGGCAACCAACTGATGTTTCTCTCTCACACAGATGTCTCTCTCTCTCCACCCCCTTCCTCTTTCCCTAAAACCGATAAACATATTCTTGGGTGAGGATTAAAATAAATAAGTAAAAATAAAGATAAGTTGTTATTAAAAAGTTCTCTTCATAAGAGAACAATTATAACTATATTAGGTGATGAATGTTAACTAAACTTATTTCAGTAATAATTTTCCAATATAGGTTTCAATTATGTTCCTTGAACTAATACAATGTTATAGGTCAATTATATCAATAAAACTAGAAAAAGTTATTAAATCTCTGTGAACCTCTATTTAATCTTCTGTAAATTGAGCATAATTTCTATGTCTCAAGTTGTTTTCAGAATTAAATGAGCTGCCATAGGTCCTTGATCACTGTTAGCTTCCTTCTCTGTACAGAATAGATTTGTTTAATCAAAAAGGGGCTTAAGCTACAAAATGATACGCACCAACAACACCCGACAGTCTACTGTTTACCTGTGACTTAAGTCTGAATTGAAAAAGAATCTGCTGTGTTTGAAAAAGGATAGAAGAGAACACTTCGCCGTAATCCAGAGCAGTTCTGTCTCTCTCTCTCCTGAGGTATGACTGGGAAGTCTTCACGTGAGGACGGGACGTGCTCACCATTCCAGCCACCGTGTGGAGGCCATTCACAGCTGGCCAGTGGCAAGGGGGGCGGGGTTAGTTGAGGGTGGCATGCTAATGCAAGGCACCCTTTACTTAGAGTTTGGAAAAGTATAAGACATGGCACCACGTGTATTAGAATGATGGGCAAAACAGAGAGAGGAAAATGGATCAAGACCTGGTCTGGGGATAAGGCTAGGTCATTTCCAAACCAGCCCTTTCCCCGCCACGTTCTTTTCTTATGAACAAGACCAACAAAAGAGTTTTGTTTTTTTAAAGAAGTTAGCAAATAACAGGGGTGGGGATTTACAACTGTAACTGCTGATACGTCGTACAATGTCCAACTCTAGGCTCCACTGGAAACAGCAAACAGGAGCATCAGTGACTCCAGACGCTGTGAGAGAATTCCATGGAGACCCACGTCTTCCTTCGCACCTGCTCTGGTCCTGTTTTTGTTTCTCGGCTTAACACAGAGCAAACAGACTGTGACTTCAAAAATCACACTGAAACAGAACGGAAGCTCCACGGTGTTTAAATGCTGCGCAGAGACAGAAATTCCTCTCTTCCTAGCGAACAGGAACAGCGTCAGGTGCAATGGTAGCAGGCCTGTGCCTCGTACGGAGGCACCCGCCCTTCATGCCCAGGCGAACCCCTGACCTCAGAATCCGTCTTCTATTAATATCAATCTTTCAGAGTGAGACAACTCTAAATTAGATGAAGTACCTGACATTGCACACGGTCTGTAATTCTAGCTCCCCCATAACAGGAGAGTGTTTTTCTTTCTTTTGTAAAATCACCACCAGCAACACCATTACCCAGGATGCACTCAGTCATCTAATTCACAGCTTTAAGGATATTTTGTCCCCATGTCCCTGTAGCAGAAGGTGACAGCAGCTTTTAAATCATCATTTTATTAGGGATTCCTGGTGTTACCTCTGTCTAAGACATTTGCAGCAAGTAAAGATGTTGGGTCCCAGCCCTTGAACATTCTCTGGTGCTCAGGAAAGTCAGTCTAGAAACACTGGTGACAGCAGAGGCCAAGACACCGCGAAGCGCTCTGTTCGTCTGTCTCCCTGGGATGGTGGCAGCTGTGCATCTCAGACACCATCTGCCGAAGGCAAATGCTAGTCCACTGTGCTGGTCTCGATTTCTTCCCAGCCCACGGTCCTCCCCACCCCTCCCCACTTAGCGACGCCTGCACTGCTGCTTCATTCATCATACACACTGGCCTCACCTGAGCCTCCCAGGTGGACGCTGCCCCTGCCCCTGCCCCACGCTCTCATTCCAAAGGTGCTCAGAGAGAATTTCATCCCATACATGGAAGGGGTGTAAACATACACCAGTACAGGTTGTTGGATTAATGCTACGGGTTTTTAGCACTTGCGAGGGATTTCTTAGATTGGAACTAGGCGCCTGAACTGTCCTTAATCTCTACTAATTGGGAATCTGAGGTAAGTTTCTGGGTTGACGTTTATCTTTGCATTCTCTGTGGAAAGAAGTTGGCAAAGCAAATAAAGAAGATAAATAATATTTTAATGGTAATATTGAGACTACCCCACAGAAGATTTCTCAGGACTCAGGCTTTTGTTCATACCCTAACCACAAAATATTTTCTGCTTAGTCACTAAAGCCCGCTGCCTCCTTCCTGGCTTCCCCATGTCTGCCCAGCCACTGTCATTCCTGAGTTCAGCCTGCTTACGGCAAAGCCAGCCAGCCTCCCAGGCCCGGCAGCCACCGTCTGCCTCTCTCGTCCCTGCCTCTTCTCCCTGTCCCTGGCCCTCATTACTGATGCTGCTCAGCACAAGGGCATCCCCAGTGCACTCCTCGTTCCTGTCACCGCTCCTCCAGTGATTCAGCATTCTGCTGCCTGCTTGGTCTTCGAAATTTTCCATAGCAATTCATGACTCTGTACACCGCAGCACCTCGAGATCCTGGACTACAGCTTTGGTTGCCTTGTCCCCAGCACAGCAGCTGGGCGGCGTAACGGAGTAAATGTGGGCCCACACTATCTGAGGCCCCGGGGGCCTGATGTATTTCAGGATTTGTACTTTTTCTGATTTCAGGATGATAATATGGTGCACAATGCATACTTTATACAACACTCAAATGGGCCTTTATAATCAAGTATGTTGATATTTCTGCAACGAAATGCATTAACTTCACCCTTGGCATAACACAGAAAGGCTGTAAATAGCCTCCCGTTAGTTTGTATCATCAAGTAACTTTTTCAAAAAATTGTGGTTGGTAGAGTTTGGGGTCTCTGAGCTGTGGGTGAGGCACTGGGGAGCTTCTGTGGGAGTGTCGCGGCCAGTCGCCACCCTCCGGACTGAAGGGAAGTACGGACTCAAAAAGTCCCCGTAATCCCATGTATCCTCAGTGCACACTGGTCTTCTCCACAGTTAGTTGGCGTTTTTGAGGCTTTCCTTACAGACCGTGTCTTCACGCTGCAAGAAGTCCGGGCTCGCCGGGTGGTCCTTATCATTTTAATTTCTCTATCTTTAACTCCATTTGTAAAGCATTGTCACCTTGCTTACTTTTAAACAGTCCCCTTTGGTTGTGTATTTTAGCAAAATGTGAACAGTCATTCAGCGTATCCTCTGCCTAAAGACAGGCTTTTGGAAGCACGGAGGTTGGCTCTCCCTGTGGATGGTGGCTTTACATTTTTAAAATCCCCATTTTACTGACTCCCGCACCCACAAAGAAGTTAAATTTTTAAGTGTGAATTCATCTAATCTGTGATATAAGTCTATCGAGCCAATGACAGAAATGCCGTTTATACACAGTTAAAAATATACCGACATCACTCTTGAAGTGCAGCTGTAGCTTGACCAGTACAGCATTCTTAAAATACAGCCAAGACAAACAGTAAACCAGCAATGCGGGGTTTGTCCATCCATCATGGGACGTCGGCTGTGTGGGTCACAGCACTCCGACTGGCAATTCGTAGGCAGTTATTTTGACATTAAAAAGTCACAATCCATCAACTTAACAGCAGGGCGATAATCTGGGGACCAGGGAGCTGGCTATTTAAAATGACACTGTGGGAAGCAAACGGTCGTTCAAATAGCCCCTGTTTGAGAGTGAAGACATCAGCTAAGTAGAATTTCCTCCCCCCTCTCGAACCAGGTATTATGTAACAGGTTTTTGTGTACATGTGTTATTTATGGTGATTGAACCTCAAAGGCCTGCAAAGCTAAAAAGCACACAGGTCCCTGGACCCTTTGGAGATGGGAAGACAGGAATCTGCCTACACAAGACTGAAGGAGAACAGAGAGCTGCCTTTTCCCAGCTGTTTGTTACCCCCCTCCCTTCCAATGACTTGTGACACCCAAGACAACATTTCAGAAGATGCTGCTGGGCTCCTTCTGAATTACACAGTACTCCGATATCCAGCTGTCTGTGACACCAGGCACTTGGACTTGATGTTTGCAGAGGTGCCCGGCCAGCAGCCCTGCCGTGAGACCCGCCTACACATGCATGGAGCCACAGGCTCCACTGCCCTCCTGGACAAGTGGTGGGTATGGAGGCCACCGAGAGCTTCGGAGATTCCCCCCATGGCTGGGAACGAAGGTAACCCCAGCAGGAAGCCTCCTGGCTGCTGGCCCGGGGTTAGGGCGGGTGGGGGGGAGTGAGTGAAGAGGACGGGCTGCAGTGCAGTGATTCTCAAATGTCCTGGTTTCATAGCGGCTCTGAGGACACTCACACGAGCCCTGAGGGATGGTCATGCTGTTGATAAGGGCACAGCAACTACATTTTTCTGTTTCTCTTTGGAAAAGAAAAAGGAAGAGCAGACAAGAAACTGTGTACTGATCCTCTTGGCAAAAAAGAACACGAGGTGGCTACACGCAGACACCCTATGAAGGGCGTAACATCTGGGCAGCAGGGCTGTTTTAAGGAGCTGTGTTGCCTGCATGGAAACCAAAGTGGCATTTGTGGTGGCCCTTACCCTGCCAGGGTCCTGCCCTGTCCTGCCCTCGTCACCGCGCCCCCAACCCTCCTGGCTGCCTCCCTGAAATACTGACACTGCAGAAAGCACATTGTTTTCAGGTCATGCTTCGATATTTCAAAGAGTGAGACTTTCCCTGTAGGAATGAAACCGCAGCAGGTAACCGACGATGAATTTCTAAAGCAGAGGCAGAGCTTTCTTACAGTCTGTGTTTTCTTTTAATGAACTTTTGTGGTTGCTTAAATTGAGTCTCTCCCTCTTCTTTTAAAAAACCGAGCTTCTCCCTATGCATAACGTCAACATATTCGATGAAAATATCTGAAAATGCACACAGTTCAGCAAGGTAATTTTTAAGCGATCAACAGTAGAAGCAAAGCCAATGACGCATCCATACCTGGAGCCGATATTCTTCCGTGAAGCACAGAGTCACTGGGCAGCAAGTCCTTTGAGTTGGAGGAGAACGGTGATTGTCTAAATGTATCTTCTGAAAAGAAAGGGCTGGGGTGGGGGAGGAGGAGTGACGTTTAGTAAATTAAAGTTATTTAGGGTACCCAGAGCAACTGGCCCCAAACACACACACACACACACACACACACACACACACACACGCTGGATAATGTATTTTTTTTTAAAATGAAGTTTAGAGACTATAAGAAGAGTGTGCTGAAAATGGAGAAAGAGAAAATATATTACACGAGACAAGTGCCATCTGCCCACTCTGCTATTGGTTTTATATACAAGGTGAATATATGAAATATCGTCTTTGAAAGATGGTTAAACCCACAGTCAGGACAGCTGAGCACTAAATTTAACTCTTGTGTTACACGTTCTGTGAGTGTGTTGTGCCCAAATGAAGACTAACCATCGGGGTCAGAATCAGCAAGTCCTGTTGAGGTTCTTCCAAGAGTGGTGACAGATTTGCCCTTGTACACCCACATTCTGTCACCTGATTCCTTGGGGACCAAGAGCATGCCTTAGAAGGTTGGAGCAGGGGCCATTCTACTGAAGGAGACACCTCACAGGTCCCCACAGACACTGAGAGAGCATCCTAGAATTGTCGGGTTCAGAAGGTGTTAAAGCACCTCCATGTTCTATGAAACCAAGGCTCTGCCCTAGGTGATTCTAAGTATCCCTAGTGCCTCAGCTAGAAATAGAACCAGGGACACCAAACACCCCGTCAGAGTTTCTACTGACAGTGCAGCCAGAGTGGACACAAAGGCCTTGGATGATTTTCATCACAGGGTTTTAACCCAATCCTATCATCCATCATCTGTGCTGCTAAAGTGACCTGTGAAGAAGTATTGTGATCACACTTGAGAACACTGGAGTATCCAGTGGCGTCCACCCTGGAGAACTGGAAAGACCTAGTTACAACAGGAAAAGTCTAATTGAGGGAACTGGGTACAGGCACAGATGGTGGACGGGTCACAGAGGGCAGTAAAGCAGCCCAGAGATTAAAAAAAAAGGAAAAGGCCACCACCGCCCTCAGGCTGGAGGGACAGAAAGACATAAATGGAGTCCAGGGGCTGGGGCCACCTCATGGGAGCTGAAGCCACAGAGAAGGTGCAGCTGCTGCTGGAGATGAGGGAGAAATATCCTAGCTCTCCTTTAAGCCCCACCCCCTCTCCCCTCAGGGCCTCTGATAGGCTGAGCCCTCCCAGAAGCCAGACAAACGCAGCATCAGGGATCAGGCCCCCTGCAAAGACACAGATGAGGGGGTGGAGAGGAAAAGATCTGAGGACACTGGAGCCTGGGACTCCCGTGATGGGTGCTGCTTTCTAAACATGCCGCAAGGCTATGGTTATTGTATTATTAAATACAATAAAGGAAATATTAAGATAAATCAAAGACACATGTAAAAATATTTTAAAAAAATAACCAAGTTTTACATGACGGTTAGGCTAGATTTCATGCAACGCTAGGTCACAGTGCTTTTTAGTTTTGTGTCAAAGATAAAAACAATGTAAATAGGATGAAATATGAACTGGCTGGTAGGTAATGGGGAGCAGGGAGACAGGCCATTCTATGTCACTCTCCTCCCAGATGACACAAACCCTGCAGAGGATAAGGCAGGGCTGCGTGGTGCCTGAGAGCACGCCCTTGGGAGGCAGTTCTGGGTTCAAACTGCAGCTCCGCCCCTTACAGCCGTGAGACCTTGCACGTATATTTAACTCCTCAGAGCCTCCGTCTCTCGTCTGTGAACTGGCATGGTGACAGTGTGCGCCCCGCAGAGGGGAGCTGTGAGGCCTGAGAAAGATACCCCACGGAGGATGCTCTTCACAGTGCCTGGTGAACAGTCAGTGCTCAGAAAAACATGGGCTATTTTTTACTTCTATCTCTGGCTAGCCAAAAGCAGAACAAAAACTAATCGCAAGCTGACAAAAAGTGTGGTTTCCTTGGATAAAATGAATGAAGCGAAGGTTGCTCTGATTTGGGCCAGGCGCCTGCTGGAGGGATTAGGTTAATTTTCAGTATTTCCATGAAGAAAACTGTTGAGAAACAGAGAACCTGAAAGGATATAGGAACGTTGGGGGATGGTTGGTCAAACCCAGACTATGAGATTTCTCCGTCCCACCTTCTTAGCTCTGAAGCTTCTGCTGAGGTGACAGTGACACCCTCGTGTCTCCGTGGGCAGTTCACATGGAAACGGCACAGCTGGCCCTGGGCACGGGGTAGAGAGTGGCCAGGGGCCAGCCTGTGACTGTCACTCTGGCCACAGCAATTGCCTTGAAGTCTGAGAGTTCAGGGGAACCCGTGCAACTGCTTGGTCTGAAATGTGGAGACGTCCCTTTGGGGACAGCAAGAGTCCCAAGAGGGTCCCCCAAAGGGTACCTAGAAGCATCACCCTTCTTGCCACAGAGAAACATGTTCACTGTCCCCCTTCGCTCCGGTCTACAGTGAGCACTTAGTGAGCGTCTAGAGAACGCTGGCCCTGGGAACATAACGCTCCACAGAACTGGCTCTGGTTGCAGGTGTCAGGGAGCGCAGGGGCCTGTGTGGGCACGAGAAGGGGGACTGCCACGTGACCAGTGCTGTAGAAGAGGGGTGCAGTGTTTCCTGCAGAGGCTACTGCTGACCTGGGACCTGCGTGCAGAGTGGGGCTGTGAGGCTCCTAGGGGCTAAGGAAGGTGTCCCCTGCAGAGGGAGAGAACACAGCCAGTCTGCGGAGCTGGAAGAAGGCCCGTGGTGTGGGGGATGGGGCTGGCTTGGCACGTGGGCGCACTGCATGCAGGGATCACGGCTGTGTCCTAAGGGCCCTGGGAAGCCCTGCTGTGTTTTAAGTAAGCAGCTGGGTGGTCAGAATAGATCAGCAGCTTCAGGAAGCTCTGCCCGTTGGGTGGCGTGTGGGCTCACAGAAGTCAGGGCAGGTGGCAGAGCAGCAGGCCGTGCTGGACGTGGTAATGCTGGTGACCAACGCTGCAAGCCAGCAGCAACGCTTGCAGACTGGAAGACAGTACAACGGATAGGCAGGTGAGGACCAGAAGGAACCCTGAGGTTTCCAGGTGAACCGGCCTGAGGCAGCCATGCTGCCTGCGGGGAACAGCCTCCTCCTCGGTTCTGAGTGGTGGAAATGGGCCAGCTCTGCATCTCCACGTGTCCTCTGCAACAGCGGAGGCCCACTGATGGGAGGAGGGAAGTCCTCTCATCACCCCGCTGCTTAGAGAAATCGAGGCGAAAGGAGACAATCAATGAGGGGAACATTCCAAGTAATTTTCTACCCTGGATGCTTTATCCTGTATAGCAAAGAAAAGATTTCTTCCAAGGGAGAAGAGAATGAGAGGGGAGTCGTGCCGAAGACTGAAAGTGCACTGAAAGGACTGGCGATGTGGAGGGGCAAAGAATCAATGGAGAACCATTCACAAGTCAAGGCAGCTTAAGTCTGGTGTAGGGGCTGACCTGCAAGGAGAAGATGCCGGGTTAACAGAGCAGCAGTCCTGGGAGTTCGGAGGACCTGAGGCCGAATTCTATACTGGCCACTTCTGAGCTGAGTAACCTTTGTCAAACCAACATCCCCCCAGCCTGTTTCATCACTGAAAAAGCGATTTAAAAATACCATCTCAATGAGGGTGCTATAAAGGTTAAAGAAGAAATTTCATGTCCAAGTTCTTAGTACATGGTCCATGCCTAGTCAAACAGCAAGTAACACATACATTGCTTACTAAGTGTCTGGCACTGTTCTAAGGTGCGTTGCTCATATTAACTTCACTTAATCCTCAAAAGGACCCTAGACTGCAGCTACCACTACCACTATCTGTACTTTGTACAGGATGCACCGCATCCGCCTCCTCCCATGGAGACAGACAACACACAAAGGCCGGACTTCATGACACAGGCGACAGACTCGGGTCTGTGTGGCCCTTCAACGGGCCAGTCGGACAGTTACTGATCCTCCACAAAGGCAGCCAGTGTGCGAATGTGGCAAGGTCCTCACTTCCCGATTCTCCAGCTCCCTGAACTTGGGTCACTTCCCTGGGCAAAAGCCTCTCCCTCAAAAAGTGAACTTAGGATGTAGAAAAAGGCAAAAGCTGTTTAAAAACATATTTCTGCTCAATAGTTTTGGTTAGAAAGTTGGTAGAAGGGCAGGTTGAAACTGACAGTTAATGGGGGAGGGGGCTGTAAGGGAACAAAGTCACTATCTACCACAACACATTCCCTTTGGTCCTGTATAATAACAAGTTACTGGAAGACTTAACTAATTCCTGTAAATCACAGGGGGCAAACATAAGGCCCGGGGGCCGAGCCTTGTTTTATCCGGCCTGGCACCTTGTTTTGCCAAGCTCCTTGCCCCTAGTTAAGGAACAGTTACATTTATACAGTCCTAAAATGACACTGGGCCCTTTCAAGGCAACCAAGAGGCTGATGTGGCCCCCAGTGAAAATGAGTTTGACACCCCTGGTATAAATATTCAATAAATATTCAGAAGTAGCATCTAGAAGCTGTTGCTGTAGACTTTGGACTGCCTGACACCCCATTACTTTTCCTGCCTTTTATCTATTTGACTTTCATTTCTGCATAAAAATGAAGTAGAAATTAAATGGTCATTTTCATCTTTCTCCTGTAGAAAATCGAAGGGTTAAGATATGAAGGGGAGGACTTCCGCCAAGATGGAGGTTTAGGTGGATGTGCCTTGCCTCCTCACACAACCAAGTTTAGGGACAACTAAATATTAGCATCAGAAAACACAACCAGAACACGGAAAACTGAACTTTTCGGAAGTCCGCTAACAACAAATTCTTCGGCCCGACCGGTAAGGGGCGAAACCGGCGTCGGGTGAGGAGTTACAAAGGAGAGCTCGATCGACCCGGGCGCGGAATCCAGACGCGCGAATCCAGTCGCACGGGTTCCAAACCCAGGATTGGACCTAGTGAGCTACCGAGCGGCCCACCGGGTGAGCAACTACGGAGGAGTCAGTGGGGAGGCGGTGGCGGCGAGTTGACTGTGGGTGCCCGGTTGCGCGTGGGTGAGGGAGTGAGCGGTCGGACCGGAGGCGGCGGCGC